GGTGTGTACTAACGACAGTGCTAACAATGGCGAAGTTAGTACATTAGCAAACATAATATGATTGCAATACCAAAATTTAGTTTACTAAATTTACGATTACTAAAATTCATTAATTTTCATTTCAAATTTTGCGCCATTACTTTGAATGCCAAAAGTAGCGCCATCACGTCGAGCGGAGGACCCTTTAAGTATTCCTTAAACGCTAACAATGGCGAAGTTAGCTGAAGTCGAAATGTCAATTGTCAATGAGTTTTATGGACTTTATATTAAAGTTAAACAAAACGAAATAATAGATTTATATTAAAGCATATTTGTTGTTGATTGCAAAGCATATAAATCGAAAGCTTTCTAAATTTTATAAATCACTGTTTGTTTGTTTACAAAAAACGAAAAACGCCGAAAATGTCTGAAGAAACAATTCAAACCCAACAATTAAAATTGAGCCAAAGGAATATCCTCCAGTTTAACAAGAACTTGATGATAACGATATTACTCCAGAAACATTTTTAGAAAATGAGGTAATATATTTACATCAATCATTATCAGAAAAAATAAAACAAGAAACAATTGATGATCAAGATGAAACAAGTTTCGACGAGGGATCTTATATGGAAAACGAAGGAATATCAACAGCGATTTTTAGATCTGAAGTCACTATAGATGAAGAAGTAAAGAAAGAAACAATTGATGATCCAGATGAATCACGTTTTGATGAATATTCTTATACGGAAAATGAAGAAATATGTCTACAGCAATTTTAAAATCTGAAGTAACAATTGACGAAGAAGTTAAGCATGAACCGATTGATGAGCATATTGCAGACACTAGTGAGGACAAAATAAATTTATATAACAAACCTTACATATGTAATGACGACGTCAGTGAGTCAAGTGATAATATAAATAAATGCAATAAGTCATTTAAAGAAGTTTTAGGAAAACGTAAAACTACCCTAAACTTGAAACAACCCTTGAAATGTAAAGTTTGCAATAAATATTTTTCAACAACTAGCACCTTACATCAACATAAAATGATTCATACAGTAGAACGTCCTTACAAATGTGAAACCTGTAATAAAGCATTTATAAGAAATCGTGAATTAATTCGACATAAAAGGATTCATACAGGAGAACGTCCTTACAAATGCGAAATATGTAATAAAGCATTTTCAACAAGTGATTATTTAAGTTTACATAAAAAATATCATGCGGGAGAACGTCATTACAAATGTGAAATATGTAATAAAGCATTTATAACAAATGGTAATTTAAGTCAACATAAAAGGATTCATACGAAAGAACGTCCTTACAAATGCGAAATATGTAATAAAGCATTTTCAACAAGTGATTATTTAAGTTTACATAAAAAATATCATGCGGGGAGAACGTCCTTACAAATGCGAAATATGTAATAAAGCATTTATACGAAATGGTAATTTAAGTCGACATAAAAAGATTCATACGAAAGAACGTCATTTCAAATGTGAAATATGTAATAAAGCATTTATAACAAACGGTGAATTATTGGACATAAAAGGCTTCATACAGGAGAACGACCTTACAAAGGCGGAATATGTAATAAAGCATTCATAGCAAAAGAAACATTAAACCAGCATGAAATGATCCACACTGGAACCCGTCCTCATAAGTGTGCTTTATGCAATAAATCATTCACAAGAAAAGAAACATTAAACCAGCATTTAATGATTCATACTGGAGAACGACCTTACAAATGCGAAATATGTAATAAAGCATTCATAGCAAAACAAATATTAAACCGACATCTAAAGATTCATACTGGAGAACGACCACATAAATGCAAGATATGCAATAAAGCATTCAGTTTAAAACGATATTTAAAACAACATGAAATTGTCCACACGAGAGAAAGCAATCATTGATGAGCCACATGCAAAAAAACATTTGCAACTACACCAACCAATTAAACCAACATAAAACTGTTAATACTGTAGAACATCCTTATAAATGTGAAATATGTAATAAAACATTAAAATCCAAACATGGATTAAAATGCCATTCAAAACAAAACAATCATGAAAACTGATAAAAGTATATCGATAAAATAATCTGACAGACAAATTTATAATCGAGGATTAAATTTTCATAATTTTAAACACAGTAAGACATTATAGTTATAGTTAGCATTCTCATCAGTATAGAACAGTTTGGTAAATATTGCTTATAAAATATCTTTAAAAATATTTGTGGTCACTAATAAAATATAATATTTAATGATTTATTGCTCACCAATTATTGTTCACCGCCAGAAGTTATTACAAGAATATACAGTGTCATTATTTAAATCAAATTGTTTTTCATTTAATTATGTATATATGTATATGAATAACATAAAATTAAAACTTGTTGTAAAAAAGGGCTTGAACAATATTGTTATTATTGGTCACTTATTAACTTCCGGAGAGTTGGTTATAGTAATCGTCCAAAAATCATAATAAAAGTTTTGATTTGTATCATATGTTTACATTTCAAAGGTTTCTTAATAGTTGTGTGTGTGAATGTATATTTGGGTACAGTTTTTCTTCTACAATTTCTGGAGCACGGATATATGATTGAAAGATGTTACTTGGAAATAGGAATTTGTATTATTTTATTTTCAATGAAAGCGAAAATTTTATTTTATCCTAATTTCATTTTAATGGCAAAACTCACGTTTTATTGCGTTGAATATTGTCAGGTTTTGTTCTGAGGCTATGGGCCCTGATAAATACAGTAGAACCTCGATTAACCGGACTAATTGTTGTCGATAGGCATCCGGATAATCGAATGTGTAAAGAATAATGCTGTGTATTCATTGAAAATAAAAAATACATACATAGATATCAATGAAAAAAATGTTTATTAAGAAATTGAAACTTCCTTATGTGTGTACATATATATTTCCTTAGATTACATTACATACATATACTAAACTGCAGCATTAATCATGTAAAAATTCGAATTGTAGGTATGTAAATACATATAAATTAGTCGTGGTTGGTAGTCCGGATAATCAATATTTTCATGTTGATTTTAAATATGAATTCTTGTGTTTATATTTTTGTTATTTACTTTTACTTTACCATGATAAAAGCTTCACAATACTCAATGTCAAAACAGATGAAACAAAAGCGCATTTATTCGGAGATAACTCCCCATGCAATCTATAAATCATTTTCACATTTAAAATTTGGCCAAATATTCCATTATTTGGCCATAATACCTGACACAATAGTCTAATTGGCATAAAACAAAACCGAGTTGAAATTTCAAGTATTAAATACAAACAAATTTAAGAAGCTGAAGATCAATACTTTTCACGTTAACATATACTTATTATTTTGTAATTAACATGATGTTGCTGCATCGCAATAAGTTACAGCTGTATTATCATCTAAAAAGCTAACAGATAAATATGTTTAATTGTGTATAGTTTAAGCGTTTTTCAGGAGGTAAATATCGAAAAAAGCTCTTGCTCATGTCAACCGAGTCGACATTAACATCTGGCTGGATACCTGGCTTAAGATTTTCAAATAAATTAGCAGTAAACAATGTACACATAAGTCTGTTTTTACACGGTAGATTGGTTCCAGAAGAAGCCGTGTAAAAAAAGACATAATAAGTGCATATACAAAAATGGGTGATTTGTTCCTAATCTCTAAAACCTATTAAAATTAGTGAAAAACAAGAATTTTTAAGAACAAGAATTCATGTTTATTTTAGTTAGTGCTATTCACATTTGCTTTGACCAGTAAAAATTGTTTGTACGCGCTAAAGGGGATTTCACTTAAATCTTTAAGCTAGTGTTCGCAAACTATCGATACTGTCGATGGTTTCAGACTTATTTTTCTTTCATAAATACTTTTTTGTGATATGAACATACTTCGCAAAAATTAATTTGACAAAAAAATGTAAGTACATAAGATTTCAAATCGTGCTAAATGGAATAAAATCGTGTAAAAAATTAAAAATATTCAATTTTCAAACCGTGTTATTTCAAAACCGTGTACAAAAAGACTGTGTAAAAACAGACTTAGGTGTACATACTTTCTTTTAGCTGTTTTTTTTTTGAAAAATGCAATTTTAATCTTTCGGTGTTTTTAAGAGCCTTAAAACTTGTATCGATATTTTTTATTACTTTCCTTTACATGAAAAACATGTAGACCTTCTCTAAATTTGCAAAAGTAGCATAATGCAGAAAAAATATCCTCGGCATGTTAGATAAAAACAATACTTGAATCTCTATCAAAATAATTTATTATGTTAAACAACACCCAAAGAAATGTCGTTCTCACAATTACACTTATTATGCAATCGTGTTTGAACAACTTCATGTAATTGAAATGACCATACATTTTACATTTTATGGCTATACTGTCTCATTTTTTGAGCAGCTGTAGTATCTGTCTTGATATAAAATATTTTCTATTTTAATAACTTCAAAGATGTATACAATTACAAAATACTTCAATAAACTTACTTTTCTCTTCCGGATATACGTTTCATTTATTTTATTATTTTCATTATAATTATTTACGGGGGACAGGATATAAAATATTCTTCTGATTCGGGCATTTTTTATTAACTTCCCGAAGGAGAAGTTATGTTTTTATCAAAAAATCCGATTCGCTAATTTTATGTTTTCTCGACCTTTCAAGCCATTCTGAATCGAATGAGAACAAATTTGAAAAAGTATGTGTGTGTGGTGTGTGATGTGCATCAACAGATTTTTTGCCGTAAATCGCCGTTTTCTCCAAAACGGCTGGATCGATTTCAAAAATTTAAAAGCCATTTAATGTATCTCGATGAGGACTATCGTTTGTCAGTTTTGTGCGACGATCGGCCGAGACGTTTCTTTATAAAAACAGAAAAGTGAAAAAAAAATTCCACGTTTTAGCCCGCAATTATGAATCGATTATGAAAATTCGAAAACCGTTCGAAAGATATTGGTTGGGAATCGTGTTGATTAGTTTTAGGTGAAAATCTATACCGAGCCGTTTTCTTGTAACTGTGAAAAAAAAAATTGAAGCCGATTTTTATGGAACTTTTTTTAGCGATATATATCATGGTCTTATAGAACTTACTGTAATATTACAGCCTTACAACAAGTAGTTTAATTTAAAAATTTATCATAGTTTGAGAAAATGAGAAATGAAATTATAAAAATTATTGATCCTTGAATATTTGCTTTTAGAAAATACTACGTGTTAATGTGTTCGTTCGTTCTCAATTAGGTATAATAAATCCACTCGAAATACTTTTAATCATTGATAAATTAATTTATTTCTTATTGATTAAGTCGATTATTTACACATATCGGGAAGTTCATGTAACTTGCCTCAAGGCTAAATACAATACGCTTTACGTTGACGTATGCTGTACGCGTACAATGACACGACGACCAATCACAATCGACATGTATAAAAATGGTCTCATTAAGAGTGAATGAACAGGTCGGTCGCGTCGCGTAACCACTTCCGTTGCATTTTCACAGATTTACTCCCTAGGCGCTGCTTAAGAGTTGTTCTTAATGAGAGTTAAGAATGACAGACGATGTAATGAACTAACACAATAATGCATTATTCACTAAATTTCACTAAATATTTATATTAATAAGTAGAAAAAAGAGTAGAAGTTATTCCAGTAGATTAGATGTGATATCTATTATATTATAAACCGGCAGTGTATTTGTTGATTTATATTTTGATTTGATTGTATATTTATTATAGTATAATATTATCTAGTATATTTTTTTTATTATTATATTAATACATAACATAATATGATTGCAATGCAAAATTTAGTTTCAAATATCCGATTATTAAAATTCATTAATTTGAATGCCAAAAGCAGCGCCTTCACGTCGAGCGGAGGACCTTTTAAAGTATTCCTTCTGAACGTAAAAATCAGGCGAGAGAAACGTCTATTGTAGGCATAATGGCCTCCACTAATAGCCTCCACTCATAGACCTTATACAATTTCATGGACTGCTAATCCCATAGACCTTATACAATTTCATGGACTGCTAGTCCCCATACATTTCTCAAGTAAAAAAGTGTCAAAAGATGTTCTATGGTATGAGGGCATACGAGGGTAATTTCGCGGCCGAGATATGTCAAACTCGATCGCTTAAACGTCAAATGAAAGTCCGTGTGTTCGAAATTGTTGGGTAAATATTATATAATATACAATTTAGGTTGAACTAATGAATGTAATGAACTATTTATTTATTTATTTATTTTAGGTATACAAAGTGTTCAAGGGAAATTGGAAAAAAAATTAAAAAAATATTTTACATATTATAAAATTCACTGAAAATAAGAACAGTTGGCTAGAGCTATTATGGGAAATTAGAAATCAATAATGAAATATTTGTTTAAATGTAATATATTTATTATTGATGTTTAAAAAGCACAATTTTCGTGTGAAAGTGGCGTACATGTTTATCAAGTTTGCTTTTTTATGTTCTTCATGGTGCATTCTATTTGTTAAGTACATTTTACCACAGACCAAACACATTTTAGAAGACATTTTACTTATTATTAGATTAAGTCTGCTACTAACAATTTTAAAACGCGTATTTTTATCCTCTTTTAGGCAAAAAACACGAGCGATCAAACATCTCGTGAACCCAAGTAACTGTAAAATTTAAGCGATCTAGAGCATTCGACTAATCTCGGTAAAGCTCGTGTTCGTATTTAGGTGCGCGTCCACACCTAACGAACGAACACGAACGAACATGTCGAACAAGAAAATACAAAGAAGAACGAACAGGAACACGAACGAACGCGAAAAATTCCAAACGAACTTGAACAAGCGCATAAAAGCAGTGAGCGCTTGAATTTTCGTTGTTCGTAGATGTTCCGTGAAACGTCAGTTTTATTATTGATATGGATGTAAGCTTTAATCATGCGGCATTTTCACTGGTTTTTGTGTGATTTTTGTTCGTGTATATTTTGTAAATATACTGTAAATAAATTATTCAATTAATTTCACTCAGTTTTTGTATTTAATTTTTATATTTTGAGTCATTTTCTTTCCTTAGCATTCATATTCGGAGCTAGCTGAACATTCCAGGCTTGAGCTAACTATACTCAATTTTCAAACTCTCATCCTCAACATATATTTTGAATGTCTGTGTATGATAACAAGTTTAATATTTACTTGTGAAGACTGCCATTTCTTCTTTACTGCAGCTTCTGACATCCCAAACGTTTTGCCTACACTTTCCCAAGCATCGTTTTTTTTCTAATAATTTTATAAAAAGGGTCTTTAGTCTCCCATATTTATAGGAAACTTTTCTATTTTATTTATGAATGATAAAATTACGTCATTTGACCATTCCATAATTTATTCAAAATTTTCAAACTGTACACAATAATTAAAAGTAAATATTATTAAAATTTTCAAACTGTACACAATAATTAATAGTAAATATTATTAAATTATTAAAATTATTATTAAATTATTAAAACATTATTATTAAATTATTAAAACAAAAATGTTCGTTTGCGTTCGTTGAGACGTCCACACGGCAAGAGAGAGTTCCGAATCCTGGAGCTTGCACTTTGGTTTTCGCGCAGTGCTGCCAACATGATGAGCCAAAGATAATGTTTATCTTCAAGTTGAGAAGCGATGTGGGTTGCCAGGTCGCTACAGGTCTATGCCTCCACTATAAATTCTAACAATGGCGAAGTTAGCTGAAATCGAAATGTCAATTGTCAATGAGTTTTATGGACTTTATATTAAAGTTAAACAAAACGAAATAATAGATTTATATTAAAACTATTATTTAATTATTCAAAATTTTTTATTGATGAAAAGCATTTAAATCGAAAGCTTTCTAAACTTTTTATAAATCACTGTTTTTTTGTTTACAAAAAACGAAAAACGCCGAAAATGTCTGAAGAAACAATTTCAAACCCAACAATTAAAATTGAGCCAAAGGAATATCCTCCAGTTAAACAAGAACTTGATGAGAACGATATTACTCCAGAAACATTTTAGAAAATGAGGTAATTTATTTACATCAATCATTATCCGAAAAAATAAAACAAGAAACAATTGATGATCAAGATGAAACAAATTCCGACGAGGGATCTTATATGGAAAACGAAGGAATATATCAACAGCGATTTTTAGATTCTGAAGTCACTATAGATGAAGAAGTAAAGAAAGAAACAATTGATGATCCAAATGAATCACGTTTTGATGAGTATTCTTATATGGAAAACGAAGAAATATGTCTACAGCAATTTTTAAAATCTGAAGTAACAATTGACGAAGAAGTAAAGCATGAACCGATTGATGAGCATGTTGCAGACGCTAGTAAAAACAAAAACAATATCAGAGAGTCAAGTGATTTAGCAGATAATACAAGTGAATGCAATAAATCAGTTAAAAAAGTTGTAGGAAAATGTAAAACTTGCAATAAAAATTTCCCAACAATTATCACCTTACGTCAACATAAAATGATTCATACAAGAGAACGTCCTTACAAATGTGAAACATGTAATAAAGCATTTACAACAAATGATAATTTAAGTCAACATAAAAAGATTCATATGGAAGAACGTCATTACAAATGTGAACTATGTAATAAAGCATTTAAAACAAATAGTAATTTAAGTCAACACAAAAAATTTCATACAAGAGAACGCCTATACGAATGTGAAATATGTAATAAAGAATTTATAACAAATGGTACATTAATTCGACATAAAAGGATTCATACAGGAGAACGTCCTTACAAATGTGAAATATGTAATAAAGCATTTATAACAAATGGTGAATTAATTGGACATAAAAGGATTCATACAGGAGAACGACCTTACAAATGCGGAATATGTAATAAAGCATTCATAGCAAAAGAAACATTAAACCAGCATGAAATGATCCACACTGGAACCCGTCCTCATAAGTGTGCTTTATGCAATAAATCATTCACAAGAAAAGAAACATTAAACCAGCATGAAATGATCCACACTGGAACCCGTCCTCATAAGTGTGCTTTATGCAATAAATCATTCACAAGAAAAGAAACATTAAACCAGCATTTAATGATTCATACTGGAGAACGACCTTACAAATGTGAAATATGTAATAAAGCATTCATAGAAAAAGAAACATTAAAGCGACATTTAATGATTCATACTGGAGAACGACCACATAAATGCAAAATATGCAATAAAGCATTCAAATTAAAACGAGATTTAAAACTACATGAATTTGTTCATACTAAAGAAAGCAATCATAAATGTGCAGTATGTAAAAAAACATTTGCAAAAAAACAAGATTTAAGTCTGCATGAAATGATCCACACTGGTGAGCTTCCTCATAAGTGTGCGTTATGCAATAAATCATTCACAAGAAAAAATACATTAAACCGACATCTATTGATTCATACTGGAGAACGGCCACATAAATGCGAGATATGCAATAAAGCATTCAAATTAAAACAAAGTTTAAAACGACATGAATTAATCCACACGAGAGGAAGCAATCATTGATGAACCACATGCAATAGAACATTCGCAGCTTCGCAATCATTAAACCAACATAAAACTGTTCATATTGTAGAAGAATATATAATAGAGGATTAAATTTTCATAATTTTAAACACAGTAAGACATTATAGTTATAATTAGCAGTCATTCTCATCAGTGTAGAACAGTTTGCTAAATACTGCTTGTAAGTATCTTTGAAAATATTTGTGGTGACTTATAAAATATATTAACGATTTATTGCTCTCCAAATATTGTTTACTGCCAGAAGTTATTACAAGAATATACAGGGTCATTATTTAAATCAAATTGTTTTTTATTTAATTATGTATATATGTATATGAATAACATAAAAATGAAAACTTGTTATAAAAAAGAGCTTGATTAATATTTGTTATTATTAGTCTCTTATTAACTTTTTCTAGAGTAGGTTATAGTTATCATCCAAAAATCGATAATAAAAATTTTTGATTTATATCATACATTTACTTTTCAAAGGTTTCTGAACATTTTGTCATACGTTAGAAAAACTGGTTGTAATATATTGGAAACAGAAATTTGTATTAATTTATTTTTAATGAAAGGAAAACCTTTAGTTTGGAAAAAAACAGTTGAATATTTCATTCAAATAGCAAAACTCACGCTTTATTGTGTTGAGTACAGTATAGATTGTCCAAACAAGTTAGAGAGTCAGAGAGTAACATCAAAGTAACAAGATGTTACCTCAGACTAGTCCTGTGATAGAATAAGCAGAGATTCTGTCTGTCTGTAAATTTGTAACAAGAAAGAAGAATAAACTGTAAAATTACTCAAGTTGGACTTTTTATTCAACCAGTGTGCTAGAACAATCATCTTTCAGCTAATACCTAAATTGAAGTTCTCATGGATCCGAAGAGACAATACTATACCAGTAATTCAAATTAACATGTACTGCTCGACCCAAGGCACCAGGTTAAAATAGGAGTTGGAAACATTTTACCAATTGGGACAATGGATCTACCAGTGGTCACATCATTAACTTCCCATAGGGTAAGTTATTGTAATCGTCCAAAAATCGAAATTGAAAATTTTTGCATTTCTCGACGTTTTGAAGGTTTCTGAACATTTTGACATACCTCAGAAAAAATGGATGTGCGTGTGTTTTGTGTGTCCGCATTTTTTCGTTCACATTTTCGGGCGCACGGATCAACCGATTTGAATGGTTCAAAAAACATTCGATTCCTATTGATAGGGAGATATGCTGATTAGTTTTTGGCAAGGGCAGGTCTAGCAGTTACGGAGATAAAGAGCAAAGAGTGCAGAAAATAGAAATCGAGTTTTTGAGAGAACGGAGCATCTGATTTGAACGATCTAAAACATTCAATTAGTAATGATTGGGAGAAGTGGTTATTAGTTTTTGGCAAAGGCAGGCCCAGCCATTACAAAAATACAGAGCTAAATGTGCAAAAAATGGCAGTTTTTGAGAGAACTAAGCGTACGATTTAAATTATTCAAAAAACTTTCTGCTTGTTTTAACAAAATAATTGATTTTGGAAAAAAAACTATATCAGATTTTTTTTTGTATATCGAAAATAATTCAGATTTTATTTTTAATTCGGACTAAAGTTCTAATATACTTTAAACAAATAATTTCAACTTTGCAATTCAGTTTATATAATTCTTATAAATATTAGACAATGTTACAATATTTATAATAATCTATTTGAAAACATTTAATATTCCTCGAACATTTCGTTACGGTACGGGAAGTTCCAGCAATTTGCCTTAAGGCACGATGCCATACACCCCACTAGTTGTTCTATTGGTAATATACGAGGCAGACGACAGAACTAGAACCTACTCCTATACCACAATGAAATTCATTTCAATGTACTTTTATCATCATTTTCATGTTGATTTGAAATATGAATAATTGTGTTTACTTTTTTGTTATTGTGTATTTAATCCATTCCACTCGGATGCCGCCGAGAAATTAATTAATTAATTTCATATCAATTACCATGTGCTAACTTAAGTTACTGTGTCTTATTTTTATACAAACAGTCATGTTATTTACAAAGGATTCAACGCTTACAATATTTATATTTATTCATTTATTTATATGTTTTAACACTCCATCTGCTTTTATTATAAATATTTCATTTTAACTTCCCGTAGTAAATTTTTGCATGTCTTCAAGTTTTAGAAGTTTCTGAACATGTTGGCATACCTTAGAAAAAATGGTTGTATGTATGTGTGTATATTCAAAAAGCAGTCGATTCTTATTGATAGTGAGACGTTGCTGATTAGTTTTTGGTGTGCTGATTAGTTTTTAGCAAAAGTCGGGCCAGCCGTTAAGGAGATAAAAAGAAAAAAGTGCAGAAAATAGAAATCGAGTTTTTGAGAGAACGGAGCATTCGATTTGAATGATCCAAAAAATATTCAATTCGTAATGATATGGAGGAGTAGTGATTAGTTGTTGGTAAAGGTAGGTTCAGGCGTTTCGGAGATACCGAGCTAAATGTGCAAATATTGCAGTTTTTGAGAAAACTAAGCATCCGAATCATTCAAAAAACATTCTGCTTGTGAAGAAGTGAAGAAACGATTAGTTTAGAAAAGCAAAAAAAAATTTCCCAAAATTTTAATGAAAAAAAATTAACTTCCCGTAGAGTAAATTATGGTAATGGTCCAAAAATTGAAAATAAAAATTTTTGAATATCTTCACGTTTTAGAGGTTTCTGAACATTTTGGCATATCCCAATTCTGCAATTGGGAGCAGTCTGCAGTCTGCAATTGTTCGTACATGTTTTCGGGCGCACGGATCAACCGATTTGAATGGTTCACATAACATTCGATTCCTATCGATAGAGAGATGTGCTGATTAGTTTTGGGCAAAGACAGATCCAGCCGTTACGGAGGTACTAAGCAAAGAGTGCAGAAAATAGGAATCGAGTTTTTGAGAGAACGTCGTAGTTTCCGATTTGAATGATCCAAAAAACATTCTGCTTGTGTTGGCAATCCAATTGTTTTGGGGATTTTTTGTTATTTTAATTTTTTTTCACATTTTTTTTTTGTATATCCAAAATAATCCAGATTTTAATTTTAATCCTGATTAAAGTTCTGATCATTTATGCTTATTTATCTATGGTTCTGATGCTTTGGCATACTTATAAATCAACAGAAAGTTTTAATTTTATAGAAAAGTGACTTTAGTTGAGTGTGAAAGTAAGAAAATGAGATAGAGCGAGCGAGAAATACAGATAAAACCAAAGAGAAAAATAAGAGACAGCGAGATAGATAAAATAGAGTGCGATAAAGATAGTGAGGGATAGAAAAAAAAATAGAGAGATATGTTGAGAGATGAGAGAGATAGGGCGGGAAAGAGGTAGTAAGGGATAAAGAGAGATAGAGTATAATAAACATAGAAAATTAATGTTAGATATTATGAGAGATAGAGACTGAATAAAAAATAAAGACATATATAGTGAGAGATTAAGAAAGATATAGAGAATAGTGAGAGAAAGGGATAGAATGACATTTAGAAAGATATAGTAAGGAATAAAAATATCTCTTAAGAGATAGTCACATAATCTGTAGATAGGAATTAAATAATTAATTTATATAATTTTTATAAATATTATACAATGTTACAGTATTTTTAATAATCTATTTGAAAACATTAAATATTCCTCGATCATTTTGTTAAGGTACGGGAAGTTCTAGCAATTTACCTTAAGGCACGATGCCATACATCACTAGTTTTCATTTTTTTTAAATATCAAAAATGATTCGGAATTTGATTTTAATTCAAGCTAAAATTCTAAATCTCTTATATATATGTACTTATATATAATTCCTAAAAATATGAGATAAGTTCCTTCATTCTGTTCAAATTTAAATGTTTTCATCAAAAAATTCGATTCGCTAATTTTATGTTTTCTCGACGTTTTAAGCCATTCTGAATCGAATGAAACCAAATTTGGAAAAAGTATGTATGTATGTGTGTGTGTGAACAGATTTTTTGCCGTAAATCGACGTTTTCTCCGAAACGGCTGGACCGATTTCAAAAATTTAAAAGCCATTCCATGTATCTCGACAAGGATTAGCGTTTATCAATTTTGCGCGATGATCAGCAAAGCCATTTCTTTGTAAATCGCAGAAAAGTGAAAACTTTTTCGTCCACGTTTTAGCTCGCAATTCTGAATAGTAAAAAAAAAAATTTCGACGATTTTCATGATTTTTTTTGACGGTAAATACCATAGTCTTCTAGATCATACTAAAATATTACAGCCCTACGACAAGTCGTTTAATTTTAAAAATTCGTCAAAATTTGTCATTAGTATCGTTTTTTTGGCGTTTGTCAAAATTAGACCTGCCATCGACGTTTGCTCAGAAACGACTGAACCGATTTCAGAAATTTAAAAGCCATTTGATGTATCTCGATGCGGATTTTCGTTTCTCAGTTTTGTGCGACGATCAGCCGAGCCGTTTCTTTGTAATGTGGAAAAAGTGTTGAACTTTTTGTTCACATTTAAGCTCATTCCACCGAATCGATTTTAAACAATCAAAAACTGTTCGAAAGATATTAGTTGGGAATGATACTGATTAGTTTTAGGTGAAAATCTACCGAGCCGTTTTCTTGTAATTAACTGTTGATTATATTTTATAATATACTTAATTAACTATATAGCAATGTGGTTTAAATTGTATTTTGACATGAAGTTTGTCAAAATGAAGTTTGGGGACAAACGGTTTAGAATAACTTGAAACATCTACAAAACTCAAAATTAGCAAACCGTATTTCTTGGGGGGGAACATATACTTTATACGAGTACATTTTAATATTGTCTAGGACGTTAATAGAAAAGTTAATAAACACCGTCACCGTAGACCGTCACTGTTGACAGTTTCAAGTCTACTAACATAAGAGTGCCAACATCAAGAAAACATAATTTATCTAAATCAAATAGATGCATCAAGATAGCTAATCTTCCGCTTATTCGCTCCGAGCGTGACTGCAGCGCCCA